ATAGAACGAGAGAGACAAATAGAAGGAGACGGTGAAACCCACTAAATCAATACTCTGCCATCGCTCCAACTCTGGGCTCATCCCCTCGCCTACCCCCTTAGACCACCCCCCTAGTCGTCAGCCCGCTTCTCTTCTCCCCCTCCCTCTCCTCGCCCTCCCCCCGGGCATCCTCCTTCACCAGCGTTTCTCGGTTCCGTTCGTTCCACGCCACCCTTCGTTCCACCCCCGTCACGCTCTCGAAGCGAAACTTCTCTGGCTCCGCTTCCACGGGCTACTCCCGCAGAGAGAGTTTCCTACCATAGGGCTGGATTCTCCCTTATGCGTCAGTATAATCTACCCGACGCTCGCGAAATGTCGATGACGCGTGAAAAACGTATATATATTTATACGCGCACGGTTATTTGTTGCTGTTTTTATTTATCATTTTGCTGCAAATGAAGAGCGCGAGTCGCAACAATAGCGAATATAATATATATTTTTATGTTACGTCATTTAAGTCAAGGTGTAACCTTGTCCGAAAGGAACAGTAATCATACATAAATTTCTAGAGAGAGAAAAAAAACAGAAAGAAGAATTTCTAAAACATCCATTCCACCAATGTCTCGATATAATGTCTAATAATGACTTTCCATATAATCGTCTTTACACTTCGTAATTTTCAAACGCAATATTCTTGTGGAATATTTCTGAAGTAACTGTCGACGCTCTGCACGGAAAACGGAAAAGCGATATCGCCGCGCGTTGGCACGTAGTCTGCAGATCCAAAAAGATACAGCTTGCATTGAATTTTAATTTAAAAGACTACTTGATATAAAGCAGGTAGGAACTGTATGATAACAATTTTATATTTCTTCATATAATACGTCGCTGGTGATAATACTAATCGTCCACATCTGGTCTCAGTTATGCAAATGGAATTTTGAAATATTTTGCATTAAATGCAATTTTATTATAGAGATTTTATCGCAATATTGCGACATAAATAATAATTGTTGTCACAGTGGAGTATAATATATTTTATTACACAATGGCAATTTTTCAGTGGAATTTTGAGAGATTTATTAAATAATACTTTTTAAAATGCTCTGTTTTCTTTAATCCACAATCGTATTGTCTCGTTAAGCGCTTACTTACATTGAAATATAATTCGAAATATAAGCGAGAAAACCTCTTTTTTCTTTGTGCTAGAACGCGATATCAAAATATCGATAGATAAGTCCATTATCAGGCGACGTACAATAAGACGGCAAATCGAAACGTTCTTCAATTGTCTATTTATTTCACGCGGTTATCACGCGCTTCATCAACAAACTAGGTCACGTAGTTCTGGTGGCACACACTCACGCAACCATCCCCGACCATTTGCAGACGAATGCTGAGCGTATCTTACGATCGTGAGAGATACAACTGGTTGCGTGGGCTATGAAAGAGAAATAGAAGGAGGAAGGGGTTACCGATTGTGAGAAGGGGCCCGTGGCACAAATGAGAGTCTGTGTATGTATGTGCGTGCGTGTGCGTGCGACTACCCAAGACGAGGGTATGATAGTAGTCCCAATGCGTCTACAATCGCGAGCTAACTGGACAAATAAACGGTTCGTTGCTTCTCACACTGCTGATGATATTGTCTTCGCTATTGACGGCATCATTATGTCGCTACTTACAACGGTCGTAAATGTATGGTAAACTGGATTGTAATTTCACTCTCATTATAATATTTTACCCAAGATTTCATTGAAACAATATTTGTTTAAAATTATCGTAATTTTTTTTTTTAATTTGTTGTTATATCAATACGTATAGATAATATACGGGGATGTTTAATAAGTAACATCCACAAAGAGATCTCGATTAAATAACTAAGAAAAATCCAGAGTTTCAGAATTTCTGCTTCTTTTTAAAAAGGAGATATCAAGTCCCAAAAAGTTCAATTACACGGCCGGCAACTCCTGCTTTGTTTCACGGCCGCTGCCCGTTGGTTTATGCTCCCTCCGTCTTTATCTACTTCACTGTTATTCTTTAGATCTCCTTCTCTCTCTCTCTCTCTCTCTCCCTTCCTTTCTCCTTTTGTTTTCTTTTCTTCGCTACCGACGTGCGAACTTTTGCTGTCTCGGTAGCTGCCCAGTTTGTGATTTCTCGATGCTACTTCCCTACGCTCAGCGTTCTACAACTTAGTGTCCCGTTAATTTCTTGCGATCCGCAGGACGATTACCGCACTTGTCCGAAAATTTAGCGCTCTCGGTGTCCCTTAAATCTCTCGTAGTGAGTTAAACCTGCAATAGCAACTTAGCGTTCCGAAAATACGCTCTCGTATTTATGTCATAAATTCGCACTCTTCCCTCGATCTTTACCTGAGAATTTATACAGATAGATTTTTGCGGTTTAATAATATTTCAAATTATATATACATAATTATTTATGTATATCGTGTTCATCGCAAGATCTTTCGCTTATATTTGCAATAAGTATTAGATGCAAGTAAAAACAAAAATTTCGATAGAAAATATAATTTTTATTTCAAGGTAAATGTACTACATCGTATATTTTGTACACGATAATTTACGAGCAAAAATCTCTGGTAAAATAATGTTTTAATATTTAGGATATTTTGACGTTATCGTATATTTTAGTTCACCTTTACCGGCATTATATCACAATTAGTATATTTTAATCAGTTTATAAAAATAAATTTTGAAAGAAACAGATTTTACAATTATACTCAGATGTAATAAATCATGTTATTATCGACACATCAATAACGCTTCTCCGTCAACAGTATAATATATTTGATTTTATAATTATGTGGGCGTAGTGATTCCAGATATAAGATTCTAAACTTGCTAATAGGTAATTAACATCATTATATAAATAATGTATGCTAATGTATAATAGCTGATATTTCGACGGAACGAAACGGAAAGCACGATTAATATTTATAATGTAATGCTTTAATTGCGTACTTTATGTACCATATGTTTTACTACAGATTGCAATAGTCGATTGGATCATGTAATACTGCAAAAATTATAATTTTAATAAATTATATTAGAATAATCAAATTAAATCAAAGATATGTTGCTTTTACCGATAAATTGTTTATACATCTTTTTGAAATCCGTATAAATATAAAAGTTATTTTCAAAGTAAATATATTAAATAGCAGAGATTTTAAAAAAGGGCGAAGAACTCTTGCGTAAAGTCATCCGCTTTGATGCGAATCTTGATAAGAAAAACTGATAATTGATAGAGATATAGATTTTACGAATATAATCGTGGATCGGCGCGTTTCTCTCGCTATGCAAAGCATTGTTCTCTCGAAAGGTATTTGAACGTTCCAACTTGCGCGAGTCGATGTTGGTAGTCGTCTGATAGGATTTCGACGATCGCTGAAAGATTGACGATCGAATCCGTCAACGGCTTTCTACGGCGTGGACGGACTCGGGATTTTCCGCAATTTTCTCCGCGGCCCTCGGCGTTGTAGGCCGTGCACGTTCCGAGGCTCGAAAGCTCGGCA